GAGGGAGAGGGAAAGGGAGAGAGGGAGGGAGGAAAGAGAAAGGGAGAGAGGTTTTTTTAATCCAACCAATTGATTAATCGAAAAAAATTATCGGCCAACTAATCGATTATGAAAATAATCGTTAGCTACAGCCCTATGAAAGTTCCAGCTCTATTCTACCTGAATTTACCCTATTGACCTGGGGAAGGTAACCTTGGCACTCCAGCTGTTGTGGAACTACAAGCCCCATGAAACACTGCAAAAAACATGCTTGACAGCCGCAAGCATGGCTTTCAGAGTCAGAAGCGAGATGGGATCTGTAGTTTCACCACAACTGCAGGGCTGAGGTTGCTTACCCATAGAGAGACAGACAGATAGAAAAACAGGCAGATACATTTTTATTCTGTCCCAACAGTGAGTGACATGTGATGAAGAATTGCATAGGTGTTATTACAAACACGTTTCCATTGGCGCTGATAATTGAAGAGATGGCAGGAATGCAGCGGCATGACAGTAAATGATGTAGGAGAGCCGCGGCTGTTGACGGAGGGGTAATTCAGTGTTCTGTGAAGCAGATGATCATATTACCCAGCTTATAAACCCCCACTGACATATAGAAGTACACTTAATAACCCCTGAATATTTCGGTCTATACAATAATTGCTGTTAAATGAAGTGTGATCGATCTGACTACATCGAAGATTCATAATGACACATTCCCGGAACAAATGTCTCTTACATTTCTAGTTTTGTGACTTTTAAATCACGGCGGAGGAAAAGTACCTCATTCAGATCTCTTCATTACATCTCTAAAAAGTTACAGGTAAAGTCATATGAAACTCTTACAGGTTTATGTTTGTTTTTTTTTTCAATAATGAATCCCGGTTAAATATAATGAATCCCGACCAAATATACATCGCCCAGCAAAAGTATTTCTTTACATTTTTACCCAAGCACTTACAGTCATCATGTTTCTGAACAGCTCCAATTCTCTCAGCTCAGCTTCCCTGAACCTGCTGTCTAGTACAAGGTCACAGGGGACAGAGCAGAATCCAGCAATCGTCCATCTACTAGCTTGGAGAAGAGAGGAGATGGGAGGAGTGTTTTGCCCTGCTGTGTCTGTGTGTTTGTGGATAAACACACAGCTTACTAGCACACGCAAGGGTGGCTCCATAGGATCCTGCAAGGGATAGGAGCCACCCTAAAACAGAATATCAGAGCCAGTGGTGCTCTGGGGACCAACTGATTCCACAGGAAACTAAAACTTTTAAATATCAAGAAGCAGGGTCCATTGTAAGTGATTTAATAAGGATTTGAAATAGCTATATTGCAGCTTACCAGCACTTTCTGCTTTTATAGCCTCACGTGACAGAAAGTAGGACTGGGGGGTGTAGCAAACAATGTATATTGATTAAAACTCTTCGCACACTCTTCCCACTCTCGGAAAGTAGGGGTTATGCTACTGGACGCTGAGATCGAACTGCTTACCCTGCTTCTTACATCATCATTGCTTTTTTATACCATTTTCTGAATAAGCCCCCAAAGCAGCTAAAGTCATGCCAGTAGACCAGCCTTCTCCATGGCACCCTGAGGTGCTTTCTGGCATTGTCAGAGACGCCCTCAAATATTTGCACGTATCATACACTTCTATGGTGCAGGCCAGCCTACCACCAGAAATACTGAAATGCAAGGCGCTAACCTGGAGGGGGAGAGCTGCATCCCGGACTGCCATCCAGAAGTCCACTTCCGTCCAGTCCTGCTCCACCTCTTGCATTATGGTCATTAATATAAGGTAGGACTCTGACGTAAAAAGGGGTTCCTAATGTGAAGGGGGGCTGATATGAAAGGAGGGGGGGGGGG